CCAACAACATGCCTATACCCAGAGCCGGTCCCGTGCGGCACAATTGGTAGAGCATGGCACTTGCTATGCCAGGGTTGTGGGTTTAAATCCCATGGGGGACCAGTCCAAACTAAATATGCACTCACTACTGTAAGTCACTCTGGATAAGAGCGTCTACTAAATGTATAGCGGTTAAGAACGTTGGGCCAGTAACCGAAAGGTTGCTGTTTTGAATCCCTGAGCCGACTAGGTGAAAAATCTGTCAATTTGCCCTTGAGCAAGGCACTTAACCCTGTAAGTCGCTCTGGACAAGTGCGTCTGCTAAATGACTAAAACGTAAATGTCTGTAAACCAGCCTTAAAACTAAAGATCCCAAAGCACATACAGTAGGCTATAGATCAAGTAAGGTTCATGGCATTTATAGTCAGCTGTAATATGTATCCACCTTCTGGGATGAGAAGAAAACTTCTCAGTGGTTGTAATATATATATATGTATATATATGACAAACTCATGATGAAACAGGGTATTGCAAGGAAGGGTAGGTATCTGTTATACTGTGTGGTTGAACTGACCCTGTATATAACATGGTACTGGAACTGACCCTGTATATAACATGGTACTGGAACTGACCCTGTATATAGCATGGTACTGAACTGACCCTGTATATAGTATGGTACTGAACTGACCCTGTATATAGTATGGTACTGAACTGACCCTGTATATAGTATGGTACTGGAACTGACCCTGTATATAGTATGGTACTGAACTGACCCTGTATATAGTATGGTACTGAACTGACCCTGTATATAGTATGGTACTGAACTGACCCTGTATATAGTATGGTACTGAACTGACCCTGTATATAGTATGGTACTGGAACTGACCCTGTATATAGTATGGTACTGAACTGACCCTGTATATAGTATGGTACTGGACTGACCCTGTATATAGTATGGTACTGAACTGACCCTGTATATAGTATGGTACTGGAACTGACCCTGTATATAGTATGGTACTGAACTGACCCTGTATATAGTATGGTACTGGAACTGACCCTGTATATAGTATGGTAATGAACTGACCCTGTATATAGTATGGTACTGAACTGACCCTGTATATAGTATGGTACTAAACTGACCCTGTATATAGTATGGTACTGAACTGACCCTGTATATAGTATGGTACTGAACTGACCCTGTATATAGTATGGTACTGAACTGACCCTGTATATAGTATGGTACTGAACTGACCCTGTATATAGTATAGTACTGAACTGACCCTGTATATAGTATGGTACTGGAACTGACCCTGTATATAGTATGGTACTGAACTGACCCTGTATATAGTATGGTATTGAACTGACCCTGTATATAGTATAGTACTGAACTGACCCTGTATATAGTATGGTACTGAACTGACCCTGTATATAGTATAGTACTGAACTGACCCTGTATATAGTATGGTACTGAACTGACCCTGTATATAGTATGGTATTGAACTGACCTTGTATATAGTATGGTACTGAACTGACCCTGTATATAGTATGATACTGAACTGACCCTGTATATAGTATTCTTACTTTCTCCTGTTGTTATTTTTCTTTCTCTTGTTTCGTCCTAACTTATTATTTTTAGTAATACTTTATTGATTCCTGGGTTGCTGGGTGTAGAGTCTGCAAGAAAGGCATTTCACTGTACTTATGCAAAAACTTGACGATTAAATAACTCAACCACCTGCTGTTAATATCATGTCACCGTGCTAGGTTGCTAGGTTGCTCGTTTGAATGTTTTTTTTTTAATACAACTTAGTTAACAGGTTGAGGTTTGTCTACAATGTTCATACAAATGTTGATATATTGTTGCAATAATATTGGTTTGTAGTTGTATGCATTTCTATTACCTAATGGCACCAGGGGATTTCATTCCTCTAATCTTTGAACATTCTTGTACAACAAACATTATTCAGAGACCATGCCACAATATCTTAAAGTAAAATGGGGGTTGCAATTATTTAAAACACGTATGAACAAATTAACTAGTGCATGTAAAAATGTATAAAGTCAGTTCATTCATCTCCAGGATGTTATTCTTTTTATAGTTGTTGCATTCACAAGGATGTGTTTTTTTTTAAATCCAGTGGTCCAGCAAAATAATATAATAGGACTGTATGCCTTACAACTCATTTATCTAACAAGATTTCAGTGTTTACATGAGGCATAATACCAAAACAAATGTCCATACACATGCAGGTATTAAAAATATGGCTGGAAAAAAATGCACCTTTTAAGAGACCAATGACATCATGCAGCCAGCACTTGTGACAGGCTGACAAATCAGTCTGAATATAGAGAATCACCCACTGTGTGGGTGGGGGGGGGGGGTTATCTTGGTGTTTATGGATTTATGGCAGATTTATTGTTTTACAGAGATGACATGTAGTTTCGTGTCAGACAGCTTGCTGAATATGCTTGGCTATGAGCTCAGTAGTGGCTGGGGAGGTATTAGGGGTTGTCACGACATTTCCAGATGTTTCCTCTGGATGTGTAGAGAGAGCTGTAAAAAGGCCCACCCATGGCTGCTCCCCTGCCCAGTCACGTGAACTCCATAGATTAGGGCCTAATGAATTTATTTCAATTGACTGATTTCCTTATATGAACTGTAACTCAGTAAAATCTTTGAAATTATTGCATGTTGCGTTTATATTTTTGCTTAAATGAAGTAAAAGATGCAGACTTTTTGCCATGTACATTCTGTGGATCTTTGTCACCTGTCAGTTGAATCATTAACTAAAGCCAGGCCATGAAGCTATAGTTTATGGAAAGTTTAATCATGGTGGGTTGTAAAGATTGGGCCTTTTATTGCCCTCAGCCAGTACCCATTGCATGGTCTTACCTTTGACACAATTAGCATGAGTTCCTACACCTTTCACCTCTGACCTCACTTGGAAGCTACAAACCTGGAAGGCAGGTAGCCGGAGGTGGTTGCTGTTTTGTATTTTTGTTTCATGTATGTTGGAATATAACTGCCTGGGAATATAATGCTTCATTAGCTAAAGGTAGTGTTAAAGGTTGTGCAACACACCTCTATTGTCCAGGTATGCTAATTTGGCCTTCTCCCTGCAGCATTTGCATCGTTCTAAGAGTGTGGATGCACTGGGTGTCTTCTTCTGGTCATATGGGTAGGGCTACGTGACAGATCCAGGCATCTCTTGGGTGTACAATGAGGTTTCATTGTGACTGTAAGAGGAAGTGGGAGAGTTCTAGGTCCATTTCCTTCTTAGACTAATCAGCTTTTACAGTATGTTACAAAGTGGACAACCCAAATGGTAACATACCAAATATGAATACAATTATTAATTGTTTTGGATATAAATTGTTAGTATTTATATCATGCCAACAATAATATGATACTAAAATGGAGTACTGAGTGCTTATTTACCAAAACACTAGCCATTTCAGTAGTTATTTTATAGTGCATATATTAGTGAGTAAAAAGCCTTTTATTTTTACAATTGATGTGGAAATAGTTAAGCTACTAATTTTTTACATAGTTATTTCATGAAAAAATACCCTGCAAATGTCATGAAATGTACAACCATTGATTTGAGTTTTTTTTTTAATCACAATATGTACTTTACTACATTTAGAAGATTTAAAAAAAGTTGTCTTCTCAAAACGTATTTTGTAATAAGTCCTTGTACACATTTACTAAGATCCACAATGAAAATCAATTTGCGATTAGAGCCATTGCTACACTGCTAAATGCACTTTGTGTGCCAAATTGTAATTTAAATTGGGGAATTGACTATATACTGTAGACAGGTTACATTATGAAGTGTTTTCTTCAGGATTACCGATAGCAATGGTATGAATAATAAACATTGGCAAAGATGAGGTTTAAAAACAATCAACATTTACTAAGCTGACATTGCAATTCATACTGTACAAATATAACAATTATATGTAGTCTATTTGACACTTTAAAAAAAATACTTGTAGTAAGTATATTTACATGTATTTACATTCTTCATTACATTCTTGTGACTTGACCTATGTAATGATTATAGTATATAGTGCCAGGGCTCTCCAACCCTGTTCCTGGAGAGCTACCCTCCTGTAGGTTTTAACTCCAACCCTGTTCCTGGAGAGCTACCCTCCTGTAGATTTTCACTCCAACCCTGTTCCTGGAGAGCTACCCTCCTGTAGGTTTTCACTCCAACCCTGTTCCTGGAGAGCTACCCTCCTGTAGGTTTTAACTCCAACCCCAGTTGTAACTAACCTGATTCAGCTTATCAACCAGCTAATTATTAGAATCAGGTGTGCTAGATCAGGGTTGGAGTGAAAACCTACAGGAGGGTAGCTCTCCAGGAACAGGGTTGGAATTAAAACCTACAGGAGGGTTGCTCTCCAGGAACAGGGTTGGAATTAAAACCTACAGGACGGTAGCTCTCCAGGAACAGGGTTGGAGTGAAAACCTACAGGAGGGTAGCTCTCCAGGAACAGGGTTGGAGTGAAAAACTACAGGAGGGTAGCTCTCCAGGAACAGGGTTGGAGAGCCCTGGTTATACTAATTAACTTTATCTGGAAATGTTGAAGAAAAACATATGACAATAATAACCAGAACAGTTTGAAATGGAATAATTTACAGTTGTCCCAGCAGCGTCCATATGTTTTGAAACAACTATTGATGTAATGACAGTAATCCTGGGATGTTTCTTCTCACCTCTCGTCACCCTGTTTCCTTTATCATACTGTAATGCTTCCACCTAGTGGTCCAGTCTGATAATGAAGTCATGGATATGATACAATATCAAAATAAAGGTGAAATAATGCCCTATGTGTCGCTTCTCTAGTCTCTACGACTATACAACAAAATAAATCTATCGCCGAAATACACCATAATGAATTGTTAAAAATGATCAGTCATTACGGTGCATAGTTGCATATTTCACATTGAAAAATCGATGCTATTGAAATGTAATGCCATAAACACATTGAATATCGCAACAATACCATGTTCTTCATACATAGATATCATCCAACTCCAGTGATAGTCTTAGCTTTCTCTGGCTTGAAGCTGGTGCAATCGGTCTGCAGAATTCTGTGGTAAGACAATTTCACCATCTTACAAAATATACATTTATAATCATAAAGCGGTGTTAAAATAAAATACTTGTTACTGAACACTTAAACTATGATGAAATGACTACAACTGTGATATGTGGTTGGCTCACCAACTACCTTAAGATGAATGCACTAACTGTAAGTCTTAACTATCACTTAATAAACTATGATGGAAATGTACTGTGTGTCATTCTCTGCTGCGAGTTACCGTAATGGGAGGTGTCTTGATCTGGATGGGTTGTGGTCTCCTCCTGTGGCCATTTGGTGCATAAATTCCCATGCATCTCAATGTAGTTGTTCTCCTCCACATCTAAAACACAACAGTGCAGTTTGGGAAAAATAATGTTCCACGTAAATGTTCCATGTGAATGTTCCAAAGAAATGCAACAAAAACGCATGAAGGAGATACTTAAATTCAGTCTGACTTTTACCTTTTTTATTTTTCTGACACCTCTTTTTCGAATTCAGAATGGCGACGGCCAGTGCCGTCAGTGCAAATGCAAAGAGCCCAAATGCAGCTACATCTGAAATGTGACCTTTTTCCAAAACAGATGCCACAGTTTAATTGTAAATATATTCATGATCTTAAAAAAGGTACTTTGTTATGTAGTACCCTATCCCCTGAATCATATTTGTGCCTTCAAAACTTGGCTCAATACATACTGTGCTACTCAATTAAAGGACAAGTAACAGGCAGGTCTACTGTACTGTCCAGAGAGAATGGTTCTGGACCAATAGTATGCAGAAAGTGCATGATGAGTTACTGTACCTCTGCATGTCGGGAGAACTGGTCTGAAGTCTTCTTCACTTATTTCATTCATTGCCACACAGGTCAGGTGTCCAGGCATATGGCTGTCAGGGAACAGAACAGGACCTGAGCTCAGGGTCTGATTGGACCTGGTCCAGGCCATCACAATTCTGTCTCCTTTATCAACAGAGCAAGTCAGAACAACTCTCCCATCAAAAGTACAGGACGTTCGCACCTTTGGTTTGGAGACAGGTTCTGAAATGTAAATCATTCATGTCACACAAATATACAATCACACAGTGCAAAGTCAATCAACAAGCTACAACAGAGAACATTATTTTCAGTCGAAATGAAGCAAATAAATTAACAAATGGACAACAAATGAAAGCAAGCCTAAATAAATCTAATGGGGGAAAACTCTAATTAATACGTTAAAGGGGCAATCTGCAAAATGGTACATCCATTTGGACTTAAATTTATGATATACCCATTGATTCTTACATTTACATTTTAGTCATTTAGCAGATACTCTTATCCAGAGTGCATTATTTTTTTTTTCATACAGGCCCCCCGTGGGAATTAAACCCACAACCCTGGCGTTGCAAGCGCCATGCTCTACCAACTGAGCTACAGGAGGCCTATTACTTATAAATTCCTCTTGAGCTTAGTTCAACTGTTGTACCCCACCAGAACCCCAAATATAAGCCTGTTTTACTCCATTGTTTATAAACAATGTAATTGGAAACAAACACTGTTTAGCCACAAAACATGGTTACAACGCTAATTTTGATATCATGGATGGTTTTATATATTTATTTTTATTTAACTAGGCAAGTCAGTTAAGAACAAATTCTTATTTACAATGACGGCCTACCAAAAGGCAAAAGGCCTCCTGTGGGGACGGGGGTGGGGTTTAAAAAAAAACTAAAAACTAAAATATAGGACAAAACACACATCATGACAAGAGAGACACCACAACACCACATAAAGAGAGACCTAAGACAACCACTTAGCATGACAGCAACACATGACAACACAGCATGGTAGCAACACAACATGGTAGCAGCACAAGACATGGTCAGTCCTTGCATCCATAGCTCAGTCAATGAATTTGAGAGTAGAAACATTTTTACTGCCCCATCCCTCAGCTGTTTACCAAAACAATGGCTGGGTTTACACCGTTATTGTTTGAAATGCAGATTGCCCCTTTAATCAACATAGATGGGTATGCTTGTGCTAAATCTTCATTGACAAATGTCAAAACTTGCAATAATTTCAAACAACCCACCTAGAATAACGAGCTCAATGTTCCGCACGGATAGAAGAGCTCCATCTTTATGGTATTGTGACACTGTATAATTTCCACTGTCTCTTTTCAGTCCTTCATAAAACTTCAGTGAACCATTTAGAAAGATCTCACACCTATCCATTAAATTAACAAGCGTGCCATTTCTAGCTATTAACATATTTGTATTAACATGTTTCCATCTCACATCAGAGAACTCGGCGTATAAGTACATTTTAGGGTGAAGGAATATGGAGTCTCCTACTCGTCCAACTACTCTGGTGATGTCCTCTGCAACAACTGAAAATAAAGCATTTCAATAGAAAAGATGAGCAAAAACTATTGTTTTATATATTTTTTGGAATCAAGAAAACTATTCAGCCTACTTACCATAGCTTATGTAGAGATGAAGAACCAACATCCATATTGGAAGCCTACCACTACATGTTAAAGCTCTCAGAGGCCGGGGTGAGGACATGTTTGTAAAATAAAGTTTGGCAAGACATTAACGTGTAGTTGTCATCACGCTCACACGGTTATGTTTCCTGCTATGGGGAAATGGCCCCTCTAATGTCAGTAGCGTGGTTGAAGACATGAAACCACAGCATATGGGTTTGAGGATGCAGAGTATGTGCCAATGTTCAAACAATGATGCATGGTCTGCATTCTACAAGTTTCACAAACTGAACAGAGAACTGAAAAAAAAAAAAACTATTTTGTGCTAACAACTAGCCACAGTGTAAACCACATTGACGACTTCTCTCCATGAAGAGCAGGCTGACTACAGGCCAGGTCGAGCTACTGAGCTGTAGAAACAGCCACACTAATAAGTGTGGCTGCGGGACGCTGTTCATATTCATGTTGTTCTGTTGCTTTTATAGCTACTCTGCAAAACAAACTCATTAAACCACTCTATATAAAATATAGAATAATGACCTGCTAAACCACCCAATGCATTTTACACTCTGGGCCTAGTTTAACTTCTGTGGTTTTCCTTTCTCTGTTGATACGCATCAGACAGATCATTTTCACATCAGAAGTAGCTCAGTTAGCCACATCTTGCTAGAACAGTGTACTTGCAATGCAAAGTCCCATTCCTTTTTCCTTATGCACGTTTCAAAATCAGTCATTTCTGACAAGACAATTAACGATGCAATGGAAGGCATTTTCTTGTCTTAATCTTAATAGTTTGGCTACAACTGAGGTTGTAGCAATAGGTTGTAAACTGGTATGGTGTATTAAACAATTATAATAGCCAATATGCTGTGAGATGCAAAGTGAGATACCTGTATGTGTTTTTCTGCTTTGAATAGAGGTCATGATGATTAATCCCTGAAAGAGGCACTTCTGCTTCCAACTTTAACCCTCACGTTGTCCTCGGGTCGCAGGCCTCGCAGGCCATTTTGACCCGAGGACAACGTGCGGGTTAAAATAAACTGAGGGAGATTATTTATGAAGCAACAGTATTTATTATCGTATATGTACAAAAAGTTTAAGTTCAAAAAGTATGAAATGTTACAAAATATCACATAAATTAAATACTTAGAAAAAGTCACACTTATGCTATTTTGAAAGTCACCTGATACTTAAACAAAGTAATTTCCACAATCTCAAAACGTGGTTCTTGTCAAAACATTGATCTTGTGGTCACTCTTTCATGCAAAATGCATACAAAGCTGAAAAGAGAAACATATTTCTGTAAGGAGAATGAATTAAAATGTGTGTAGGACCATTTCTGGGCTCATGTAAATATACAATTTATCCTAACAAATGATCTAATCAGGCAAGTCGCAAAGTGGGAATGAAGTCAATTGTCCTGGCATTACCTGGGCAGGCCGGAAGATCAATAGTAGAGTTGCTGCTGCTAACTTTATTCTGACCCATACAGGTCAGGGTTCCTGTCACATCACTCTTCAACGTGATGACACTGTTCTGGTAGTGGTCATAGGCTACACTCCTGGTCAGATTCTGGCCGTTCAGGGTCCAGCTGTACTGAAGACCATCTCCCTCTGAGGAGCATGTGACCACGGTCTCTCCATGAGGCAGACAGAGGTGAGACAACACTGGCTCTGACACCGGGGCTGACAGACACAAACACAGAGACCTTACTGCCATGTAGCATGATCTAACAAAACACTGGCAATATTATGGTCTTTAATGACCACCAGGATGGATGCAGGATGATTGGTAAACAAAAAGGTTCTGTACCTTGTATCTCAAGTAGCACGTTGACTCTGCACAACAGTGTTCCCTCTGAATTATATATTTCCAATAGGTAATCTCCAGAGTCGTCCTGTGTAACTCTGTCCAGTCTAAATGTTCCATTATTAAAGAACTCAGAGCGATTCACATAATCCTGAGGGAATTTAGATCTCCAGTCTTCTCCAGTTTTGAAGTGCAGAATACGTTTATGACCTTTCTTCAATGTAATTTTTTTATCACTTGTGTTTGCAGTCAGACGGAATGACAAAGATACTCCCAGAGCCGCATAACATTGATGATCTCTACTCTCCTCAGTGAGATTACAGATCATAGCACTAACTGTAGAGCATATATTATTTTAGAAGTCAGCATGTAATAAATATGTCTAGGTTACATGTGTTATTCTGAAATATCAATATTTAAAGATAATAGCATTATATCAATAAATTGTCATATCAATCACATTAATGCTAAGCAACCACAATTAGTGACCATCGAAGACATTTTTTATAGATTTTCATTTTGTTTCTTTCCATGGCTAAACATGTAAGAGGTAGATACCATAATACCCTGTAATATAATGTCTTACCTTCTGCTGTTAACACCAGAACTATAATTATCATGGGGGTCATTTCTCTTCTGCCTGCACTAGAATTAGAAATAATGACCGTCTGCGCTCTTTAAAGGTCCTTTATATCAAATAGTGTCTGTTTCAGGTGTGTACATTTAAAATAAGAATATCAGGAGAGATGGAGACCTGCACAATAATTAAGCATAGACAGTTTTACGGGAGCAGTATGTGTGCCTCTAACAGGTTGTCTAGTCACTTATTATGATACTGTATCTTTTGAAATCCAGCTGACATATATTTAACCTATTCTTATACCAGTGCAAAGAGCAGACCATAAGACTGAACCTTACCGAAACAATAGTGTTAGGAATAACAACCCGCTAAGCCACACAATGAATGTTACGCTAGTTTAACCTCTGTGGTTTCCCCTCGCTCTGACGAAGCACAGTCTTATTTTCACATCAGAGCCGAGTCACCCCAGTTAGCTACCTTCACCACAGCTCTCTGTCTGCTGAGAACATGGACTGCAAAGACGGACTACTGAAAAACACATCTTGATAGTTTGGTTACTTGTTCAACTCTTCTGCTAGTTTAACCTCCAGCATTTATGTCACCTGAAATAACTGATCCCTCGTTATTTGAGAAAACCCCACACTATCCTCTACCTCTGCACAAAACACTGCTGGCTCAAACTATGACTCTGACCCCATAGTCAAAATCCATACACCAAACAGAACCAATAAATCAACTGACGAAAGTTACAGTTAGCCACTAGCTAACTGCTAACTAACCAATACATGCAGGTGCTCCAAGGCCCAGAGATACCAGACAAAATTCGGCAGGCTATGCACAAAAGCTACAAACCATAGTGCTAGGCTAGTGGCTAGCTGATGCTAACAAAGAGTCCTCCACTGCAAAACAATATAGAATCGTTAGGACGTCACAAAATGGTTGCCTAAAATCTTCAGGATGGATGGTCCCGGGCATGTCCCAGAGGACGTTCTTAGGAAGTCGTGTCATGGTCCCCTGAACATTCTTGGGATGCTGTGTCATGGTCCCCTGGAGGTTTTGTCTAGTTCCCGGTTTGTCCCTGAGGACGTTTTTTGGGATGTTGTGTCATGGTCCCCTGAACATTCTTGGGTCGATGTGTCATGGTCTCCTGGAGGTTTTTGTCTAGTTCCCGGTTTGTCCCGCTGACGTCTCCTGATGTTTGCAAAGAAACGTTTTACCCAGGTAATGCACACCCTAGTTTCATTACAAATCATCCCTTTTTACTGTTGCCAAGCCCATCAAGGACCTGATTGGTGAACCACTGATCCAGTCATAGCTCTTTGTCTTTTTGCAATGCTAGGGACACACACATAGTGTTTTCCACTTTGACACACTTGATTACATTGTGTATGTTTATTCAAACAGTAAATATGATTTAACATTCCCTCACCTGGGATTTGAACTCACAACCGCTTGGTTCACAACATTCTGATATTCCTGCTATGCCATCATGTCTGTATCAGTGACTGATTTCACCTGTAGGCCTATTCCTACACTTTGTACTTCAAAGTAAATCTCAGCTCTGTAAAAAAAAAAACATTTATCATACTGATTCAGGAGTAACATTAAAACAGAATAATATGCTCCACCACCATTAGACATCTAAACTGAAAACCCAAACCAAATTACTGAAATACAGTGGCTTGTGAAAGTATTCACCCCCCTTGGCATTTTTCCTATTTTACAACCTGGAATTAAAATAGATTTTTTGGGGGTTTGTATCATTTCATTTACACAACATGCCTACCGATTTGAAGATTCAAAATATTTTTTACTGTGAAACGAACAAGAAATAAGACCAAAAAAACAGAACACTTGAGCGTGCATAACTATTAACCCCCCAAAGTCAATACTTTGTAGAGCCACCTTTTACAGCAATTACAGCTGCAAGTCTCTTGGGGTATGTCTCTATAAGCTTGGCACATCTAGCCACTCAGATTTCTACCCATTCTTCAAGGCAAAACAGCTCCAGCTCCTTCAAGTTGGATGAGTTCCGCTGGTGTACAGCAATCTTTAAGTCATACCACAGACTCTCAATTGGATTGAGGTCTGGGCTTTGACTAGCCCATTCCAAGACATTTAAATGTTTCCCCTTAAACCACTCGAGTGTTGCTTTAGCAGAATGCTAAGGGTCATTGTCCTGCTGGAAGGTGAACCTCCGTCCCAGTCTCAAATCTCTGGAAGACTGAAACAGGTTTCCCTCAAGAATTTCCCTGTATTTAGCGCCATCCATCATTCCTTCAATTCTGACCAGTTTCCCAGTCCCTGCCGATGAAAAACATCCCCACAGCATGATGCTGCCACCACCATGCTTCACTGTGGGGATGGTGTTCTCGGGGTGATGAGAGGTGTTGGGTTTGCGCCAGACATAGCGTTTTCCTTGATGGCCAAAAATCTCAATTTTAGTCTCATCTGACCAGAGTACCTTCTTCCATATGTTTGGGGAGTCTCCCACATCGCTTTTGGCGAACACCAAACGTGTTTGCTTATTTTTTCCTTTAAGCAATGGCTTTTTTCTGGCCACTCTTCCGTAAAGCCCAGCGGAGGCCCCTAAATAGCCCCTAAATAAGATCTGGTGCAACCAATTACCTTCAGAAGTCACATAATTAGTTAAATAAAGTCCACCTGTGTGAAATCTAAGTGTCACATGATCTGTCACATGATCTCAGTATATATACACCTGTTCTGAAAGGCCCCAGAGTCTGCAACACCACTAAGCAAGGGGCACCACCAAGCAAGCGGCACCATGAAGACCAAGGAGCTCTCCAAACAGGTCAGGGACAAAGTTGTGAAGAAGTAGGGCAGCAGGTAGCTTAGTGGGTAACAGCGTTGTCCCAGTAACCGAAAGGTTGCTGGTTCTAATCCCCGAGCTGACTAGGTGAAAAATCTGTTGATGTGGCCTTAAGCAAGGCACTTAACCCTAATTGTTCATGTAAATCGCTCTGGATAAGAGCATCTGCTAAATGACTAAAATGTAAGTACAGATCAGGGTTATAAAAAATATCAGAAACTTTGAACGGAGCACCATTAAATCTATTATAAGAATATGGCACCACAACAAACCTGCCAAGAGAGGGCCGCCCACCAAAACTCACGGACCAGGCAAGGAAGGCATTCATCAAAGAGACCAAAGATAACCCTGAAGGAACTGCAAAGCTCCACAGCGGAGATTGGAGTATCTGTCCACTCCACAGAGCTGGGCTTTAAGGAAGAGTGGCCAGAAAAAAGCCATTGCTTAAAGAAAAAAATATTTTGCAACTTCAAAGTGGCATGTTGTGTAAATCAAATGATACAAACCCCCAAAAATTAATTCCAGGTTGTAAGGCAACAAAATAGGAAAAATGCCAAGGGGGGTGAATACTTTCGCAAGCCATTGTACATTTACATATTACCTAAAGTGCCTTAGACCACTGCGCCACTCTAGGGGTCTTAGTCCCAGCTACATGGTCTGTAACCTGACTCGTTATGTCTAGGGGTCTGTAACCTGACTCATTATGTCTAGGGGTCTGTAACCTGACTCATTATGTCTAGGGGTCTGTAACCTGACTCATTATGTCTAGGGGTCTGTAACCTGACTCATTATGTCTAGGGGTCTGTAACCTGACTCATTATGTCTAGGGGTCTGTAACCTGACTCATTATGTCTAGGGGTCTGTAACCTGACTCATTATGTCTAGGGGTCTGTAACCTGACTCATTATTTTTGGGGGTCTTTAACCAACTCATTTGCCCTAACGGTCTTGGGCCCCTAGTTACAGGGGTCTTTTAACCTGACTCATTTGGTGCCCTAGGGTCAACCTGACTCATTATTTTTTTTTGGGGCCCTGTAACCTGACTCATTATGCTAGGGGTCTTTTAACCTGATTTCATTATGTTTTGGGGGTCTGAAACCTTTGACTAAATTTTTGTCTGGGGGTCTGTAACCTGACCCATTATTCTGGGGCCCTTGTCCCTATTTAAAAATGGTCGTACCCGGACCCCTTGTGTCGGGGGGTTTCCTGTAACCTAATTTCAAAAGGGTTTTAGGGGCTGTAACCTGACCCCTTTAAATGCAGCGGCCCTGAAACCCTGACTCATTATGTCTAGGGGTCTGTAACCTGACTCATTATGTCTAGGGGTCTGTAACCTGACTCATTATGTCTAGGGGTCTGTAACCTGACTCATTATGTCTAGGGGTCTTAGTCCTAGCTACATGGTCTGTAACCTGATTTGATATGTGCATAAATGTGGGAAGTAAGCGCGTGCGACTAGGTGTTAAATGTATGTACCCAGGAGACAGCCACCTTACCGTATGTCCAGGGCAAGCTCCTTCTTGACCTCTTGGTCAGCCAGTCAAAGCAGGTTATTATTTGTTTAGATGGTGACGAAAATTAAATATGTACAAAAAGGCATGCCCAAACTCAAGACTCAAAACCAAACAAAAGGCCTCATGGCTTGCAAGCTGGGACACTCACTGATGATCACCTTAATTGCCTTCACCTGGTGTGCTTATCAAGGCTTTGTAGTGTATTAAGATTATGACGTTGTTAATGTTTTTAAGTGGAACTGAAAGGATGTTTACTTAGTGTCAGAGGGAAGGTTTTAATGTGACACCCTGGATAGGACAGAGAAGTCTGTGTGTTGTAGACAGGGGATTGGACAGTAGAGGGAGCCACCCATATCTTGGGAAGATTATATATACTGGGTAAAAAGCGAAGAAGAGGTTAGAGCAGACATTACAATTCAAGGACACTGCTCTCCGGGTGTCATGACATCCGTCACTTATGCTGAAATCTTGTGATATGAATAAAACTTATGATCAAAGGTTCAGTATGAGCGGACTCCTTTGTTTATCAGCAATAATTGCCAGCATTTACTCGATACTACTGCTTCCTGGCAGAGCACAGACCTTGACTCGGTTGGTGCTTCCACCTGGGAGATGGAGTGTGGAAGTGTATCCTGGTAGAGTGTGTTGCCCAGCTGTTTGCTAACACCAAACTACCACCCCATCCATAACACTAGCCTACTGTATACCCTTCACTATAATATTTGAAAATGTATCTGTAACAGGTTGCTGGTCACTAATTTATATGATACTGTATATTTTGCTGTATAACTTTGACAGATATTTAATCTATTCTTATACAGGTGCAGAGACTGTGGGTAATTTTTGGGGGCAGACAACATAAAAACCAACTATATGAATTATGCATGTTGTAGAATGAAATGCCTATATGACTTAAATGCTTATGGATCAATAACCAATTAAAGGGTTAAAACAGAGCAGATACATTTCTTTAGTGCAAATGCTGTCCTTCTTAGCTCTCTGCAACTGGTTTGGGTATGTCAATGACATGTGATGGAGATATAACTTCTCGTTGTGGCTATGTGGAGATTGGAGTAACAATGGAACTAGTGTTATCACTTGTTTGTGCTTATGACCTGATGCACATAGTTACATGCACATAGTCACAAGGAAAAACCATAGTGGCTTAAGGTCCAGGGAGGATGGCTGTTAGGGAAGGCTTAAATGTATGTGGTTAAGAATGGGTTATGGACATGGCATGTTTAAACCATGTTTAAGTATTGATTGATATGTTTTATAATGTGTTATGAAATGATAAGGGTAAAACAGAATGAACATGATTGATACTTTGTACTCCAGATGCATGCCTGGATAGTGAATATAGTCAATACAGAGCGTGATTGTTCTTTAACGTACGTATGTATATAATTATTTGAGTCACGCCACCAATATAATGAGATAAGTGACAGAAGCCCCATTTAGAGAAGAGCACTTAGCCCTCGTGAGTAAACAACATGTGACACCGAAGGATGTTAATCATGTACATATAATGGAGTAACTGTGTAGGTTGTAAAAGCATGACTATGCATTTGTGTCTGTATAAAAGGAGAGCTCTGAGTCAGGGAAAACAGATGTTCTGCAGATCATCTCGGCTTTCGTTGCTTCATGTAATAAAAGTATATTTTCATTCTACAAAAACTCTGGAAGAACTTTTGATTTTTAACAAGTATAGTGATAAAGACCAAATTTAAGAATGAAATTCACCGAAACAGTATTGATAATAATAATAACCTGCTGGCCACAAAATGCATTTTACACTCTGGGCCTAGTTTCACTTCCCTTGTTCTGATTAAACACATCGGACTGTTTTCAGAACAGACTCACCAATAGCCACCTTTACCACAGCTCTGTCTGCTGAGAACATGCACTGCAAAGACTGACTACTGAAAAACACATCTTGATAGTTTGGTTACAACTGAAATGTTTTCTATTTGGAGACAGGTATCTAAGAAATTAAAATGAGCCTTAATCGTATGAGTGAGCTACACAGAGGTTTTGAGAATGCATCTGGTCTGAACAGATGTCATGATGACTCTTTCCTCTTTCCTGAAAGAAGCACTTCTGCTACTAACTTTACTGTAACCTGAGTAAACTCATCTAAAGGAAGAAGAGTATTCTGGTGAGGTGTGACATGAATGTAGTGGATCATTACAGTACATACTCACGTGAGTGTGTCTCTGCTTCGATGCACAACCTTCTGTTGTGCATGTGGGAATACTTTTCCTGCAGTATTGTGTATGTTGAAGAAAACAGCTCTGCGTTGTTAATCAAAGAGAAACTGAGGGAGATTATATATAAAACAAAAGTATTTATTCAACTATATTTACATCTGAAATGATGTCATCCTTGTAAAATAGCTTTTCAAGTTTAAAAAGAATGATATTGCAAGGCAGCTAGGCTATCACGTTCATCAATGTTTCTCTCTTGCTGTCACGATCGTTGGTTAGAGATGACCAAGGCGCAGCGTTGAAAGTGAACATATCCTTTATTTATACAGATCACACGATCAAAACAATAAACGATAACGTGACGTCTACGGTTTAACACGAACCGAAATGAACAAAAACCCACAACACTAAGGTGAACACTGACAGTTTAAATATGGCTCCCAATCAGAGATAACGAGCCGACAGCTGACACTCGTTACCACTGATTGGGAGTCACACGACCAAACAATGAAACACAACCAAATACAACACAACCAAATGAACACACCCTGGCTCAAAATACACAGTCCCAGAGCCAGAGCGTGACACTTGCATTGAGCAACAACAACACTCTGACATTGCCAGAGAAAGTACACACCCAAGAGAATGGACGGCAAACACACAATATTGCAAAAGATCCCAAACACTGAAAGCATCACAAAATTATATAATTAACATATTTAACAATCATCATCTTGTGTTTCAGACCAACGTCCCTCCATTTGGTTTGGAGGTATGGTTGAAAGGGCTAAAAGTTCATAATTTGAAGCAATACATATTTACAAAGGCTCAAATGACAACACAAACATATACAAGGGAGTAATACACTCCTATATTTTTGGTTTCTACTAAGTCCTGCTGAAAGTTGTCAGAAAAGATGTATCATATGTCTGGTTGGTTGTCATTTCCATGTCCCCATGATTCTCTGGGCTTTCTTCCTCATAAAGACTGGCAGCCATTTTGATCTCTCCATACGCCACCATCTCTGTAGCTTCGGCTTTCTGGTGGACTTCTCTCTTTCTTTTATTGAATACTTCAGTGTATACAACAGGTGCACCCTCATCATTAGAGCAACCTGGGGAAAGACCAGTTAGAAGACCAATAAAACGGTTGTCGATTCTGGCCATGAAACAAACATTACAGAATTTTACCTGAAGTAGTATTTCCTAATCTCAGTTTCCCAAAGAGACGGTTGACACCAACAAACACTGCGAGAAGAGTTCCAACAGCCAGAGCTATAGCCACTGTCACAGTTAGAAAACGAAACTGGGAGGAGAAAACTGAGACAAACAGAATTCTGAGAGTAGGATTAATCAACAGTGTCAACAGTAACCAATCAACAGAATGATCTTATCAGGCAAGTCAAATTCATCTGAATTCTTACAATGTGGGAATGAAACTGTCCTGACATTACCTGGGCAGGCCAAGGGGAGATCAATAGTAGTGTTGCTGGCTGCTAACTTTATTCTGAACCCGTACAGGTCAGGGTTCCTGTCACATCACTCTTCAACGTGATGACACTGTTCTGGTAGTGGTCATAGGCTACACTCCTGGTCAGATTCTGGCCGTTCAGGGTCCAGCTGTACTGAAGACCATCTCCCTCTGAAGAGCATGTGACCACGGTCTCTCCATGAGGCACACAGAGGTGAGACAACACTGGCTCTGACACCGGTGCTGACAGACACAAACACAGAGATACTGCCATGTAGCATGGTCTAACAACTTTCTTATGGTACTTCTTGGTATCTCTGATTCATGCTAGTATCATATTATACATTTTATACTGTAGCTATAATACTGGCAGTTATGTTTCAATTATCTCCCTTACAATAGGATACATGATTCTCTACATAAAAAAAGCTTATTTACCTTGTATCTCAAGTCGCATGTTGACGCTCCGCAACAGTATTCCCTCTGAGTTATGTATTTCCAACAGGTAATCTCCAGAGTCGTCCTCTATAACTCTGTCCAGTCTGAATATTGTATTATTTAAGAACTTAGAGCGATTCACATAATCCTGAGGCAATTTCAATCTCCAGTCTTCTCCAGTTTTGAAGTGCAGAATACGATTTTCACCTTTCTTCAATTTAATTTTGTCTTCAGCTCTGTTTGCAGTCAGATGTAAGGACAACGATTCTCCCAGAGCCCCATAGCATTGATGATCTCCACTCTCCTCAGTGAGATTACAGAACGTAGCACTAACTGTGGAGAATATATCATATTTTAGGCCAGCATGTCCATTTATTACTGTCTGAAGGTGCTTTTAAGAAATATTTGTATCAAAGGTAACAAAAATAGCATTGATCTATTGGAATACATACAAATTGGTATTTACAGTACAATTTCATCAATTATCATATATTTTTCAGATATTTCTGTTTTGGATCCTACCATGGATAAGTTTATGTTCAATACAATAGATTTCATTATAATCTTTGTAATATAATGTCTTACCTTGTGCTGCTGCTGTGGCCACCAGAACTAAAATTACCAGGGGGATCATTTCTCTTCTGCCTGCAAAAGAAGAGTGAGTTAAGCTACAGGATTAATATAGAATGGTATACATTAGTAGATGATGATGATGCACTATAAATGAAAGACAGGCTTGTTGACAAGACAACTTACTGGTGTGTCAGGGAGAGAACAATTAATTATGTCACACATTGCTTGGTGTGAACGCCCACCCACAAGTACCTGTTTGCAAAAACAGAAGTGATAACTTATTACACATTGTGAGTTATCATTCACTACCATTTTCCTTCATGTAGTTTGATGAGAACAAGGGATTTTTGGACCATCTGTAAGTGTCAGCAGCACTGAAGCAGGAAGAGGAATAGTAATACTGTAATATCTGATATCTGAAATAGCAATACATTACCAATATAAGTGTATGATTTCAGAAAAAACTATTGTCTTCCACAAGTATCAGCATCTGTTGTGGTCATCACATTCAGTCATCTTATTATTACACAGACTTATTTGATAGAGAAAATGTCAATGCATACAAATACCAACAAAATTCACTTAGTCAAAATGTAGAGAAAAATAGTTGACTTTGTCTAGAATGAAATGGGTGACAAATGCTCTAGATGTATTTTAGAAATGATATGCTCTCCGCATACCTATCATAAATCCTCCCCTTTACAATATAAAAACAGTTTGAACTACAGTTTGTGGTGTTAGTTTGACCTCCGCTCCGTGACCAAATTCTATCTTCAGACATGTGGAGGTCAGCTGACACACCTTTCATTTATAGCTTCCAGACAACAGAAAGGTCAATAATTAGACTCACAGTATAAGCACGTTTTAACCTGAATGCCCATAATGTTACTCTTCCTACAACATCAGTGTCTTCCTAGTTATGTTTCCTTATGACCACTCTAAGTATTTCTATATATGATGTCATCAAAAAGGGCATGAGATGTCACTTTAGTTTTATGCAAAGTAAGTACACTGTATATTCAATCATTTCACTTTCATGGTCTCTCTTTGACTGTCTGCTGGTCTGTTTGTGTGATACAGTACACTAACTTCAAGTAGGGTCTCTTTTCACAGGGAGACATTGACTGGTTTATATTCAAAAGGAACGATTAAATTAAATATTGTGCACTTTGAAGTTTCACATTCAAACTGCCCAATCCTTTACATTGATGGTTCTCTCTAATGTGTCACCAGAGGTGCTCACACCTCCATAAGAGATCATTATCGAGGAAACATCTTAAAAATATGATTTAACCCCTTCGACTTAAAAAGTAAAATTTTGTCAACTTAACTTGCTTTCTTGAGTGTCACGCTCTGGCTCCGGGACTCTGTATGTTGAGCCAGGGTGTGTTCATTCATTGGGTGTATTTCAGCCCTGCCCGGCCTGTTCCTGCTCCACGCACCAAGTCTACGGTGTGCGTCGACAGCCCTGCCCGGCCTGTTCCTGCTCCACGCACCAAGCCTACGGTGTGCGTCGACAACCCTGCCCGGCCTGTTCCTGCTCCACGCACCAAGCCTACGGTGTGCGTCGCCAGCCCTGTCCGGCCTGGCCCTGCTCCACGCACCAAGCCTACGGTGTGCGTCGACAGCCCTGCCCGGCCTGTTCCTGCTCCACGCACCAAGCCTACGGTGTGCGTCGCCAGCCCTGTCCGGCCTGTCCCTGCTCCACGCACCAGGCCTACGGTGTGCGTCGTCAGCCCAGCCCGGCCTGTCCCTGCTCCACGCACCAAGCCTACGGTGTGCGTCGTCAGCCTGGTCCAGCCCGTTCCTGCCACTCGCACCAAGCCAGGGGTGCGAGTCGTCAGCCTGGTCCAGCCCGTTCCTGCTACTCGCACCAAGCCCGGGGTGCGAGTCGTCAGCCTGGTAAGACCGGTCAGCTGCTCCACAACGGAGCGTAAGCAATCCGCTCTGTCAATGTCCAGTCCAGATCCAGCCAGCGGGGTCAGACCGGACCAGGGGCGCTATGGGGGGTTGATTGGAGGGTGGTGGGCAAGGCCGGAGCCAGAACCACCGCCGAGGAGGTATGCCCACCCAGCCCTCCCTTGTTTAGCCCTTATTGAGGCGCGGTCGCAGTCCGCGCCTTTAGGGGGGGGTACTGTCACGCTCTGGCTCCGGGACACTGTATGTTGAGCCAGGGTGTGTTCATTCATTGGGTGTATTTCTATGTTGGTATTTCTGTTGGGTTCATTTCTATGTTTGAATGAATGACTCCCAATCAGAGGCAACGAGTGTCAGCTGTGTGCTGGTTGTCTCTGATTGGGAGCCATATTTAACTGTCTGTGTTTCACTTTGTGTTTGTGGGTTTTTGTTCCTTTACGGTCATTGTTACTGTGGACTTCACGAATCGTCTATTGTTTTGGTTTTTGCACTTTAATATAATAAAGTCAATCATGTTCGCTCAACACGCTGCGTATTGGTCTACTCCCTTTCAAGACGATCGTGACATTGAGTTTGCATAACTGTTTTGTCTTATCTTTTATTCTCTTACCAATATAATTGTTTTGAATTATCACTGCAACAATATATGTAAGAAATCACACATGAATAGCTCTAAATACTTTTTAAAATGTAAAAGATGTACAAGCCTTTATTTCTTTACAGCCCCTCATTAACAATATATTATATAACAATTATAAATGAGTATTTGAACACAAATAAACATTGGTACAACAACATGGATGCCTCAAAAGAAAGAAAGCATTACATTTACAGTATGATATTGCAGCTCAGTTTTAAGGAAATGTTCACATGCTTTCTCTCTAGCAGTAGAGCTAAGTTCTGACTTGCCAGCACTCTAGAGAGGATCCATTCAAACATTGAAATACAGATCAATTGATAGCATGGTTTTAAGGAAAAGTTTAAATACTTTAAATTTGTTATACCATTGTACATTCAAAATGAGATTATTATTCATGTTAACAAACTCAAAACTACATGCAGTGCATCTTCTTTGCATTCGTTGCACGATGCATGATGTCATCTTGTTGTGTTGATTTGGCACTAGTCTTTAAGTTTGATGGTCTGTCTGATCTACTCAATCAGTGCATCCACATAATGTTCAGTCAACCCTTGTCTTATATCTGCTTTATAAAGCTACATGTGGATAAAATGTCTACCCTTGAGTCTATGGGCTGGCTGCCACATCCGGGTTCACAGCCATTTTGATCTGTCCATACTCCACCATCTCTGTGGCTGGGGGCCTCTGCTTCCTTGCTGGATTTCTTTGCTTGCCTATTTTCACATCAGCGTATACAACACCCTCGTCACCGTTTTCTGAAAAATGAAAGGAAAGCTGTTGTACAATCTGGACATGAAACAAAATGTCATGTTTATTCAACATTTCAAATGTATGTTCTGGACATGAAAATAAATTACTTTAAACATTTTACCTGAAGTATCAAATCTGGATCTTCGTTTCTTGAGTAGATGGTTAATACCGACAAACAGTGCAAGAAGTAATGTGAGAATTCCAACAGTCAGAGCCACAGCCACTGTCACAGCTACAAAAGGAAACTGGGAAGAGACAACTAGAAAGAAAACATCAGGACACAACACTTGTTGACCATGCAAATGAAACAGAGTTGTACTCTTAATTCAAAAGGTGGGAATTAAGTAAACTGTCCTGACATTACCTGGGCAGGCCAAGGGGAGATCAATAGTAGAGTTGCTGGTGCTAACTTTATTCTGAACCGTACAGGTCAGGGTTCCTGTCACATCACTCTTCAACGTGATGACACTGATCTGGTAGACGTCATAGGCTACACTCCTGGTCAGATTCTGGCTGTTCAGGGTCCAGCTGTACTGAAGACCATCTCCCTCTGAAGAGCATGTGACCACGGTCTCTCCATGAGGCAGACAGATGTGAGACAACACTGGCTCTGACACCGGGGCTGACAGACACAAACACAAGAGATGCCTCAAATACCCTAACTCTGATTCATGCAAACACAATATATTAATTAAGCATTATATTCTCTATGTCATAACAATGTTCTCTCTGTGTTGTACTACTGCTACTACTGATGATCTATGAAGTATTTAGGCCTAACTAAAATACAAAAAGGTTTTGTACCTTGTGTCTCCAGTAGCATGTTGACTGTGCGCAACATTGTTCCCTCTGAATTATATATTTTCAATTGGTAATCTCCAGAGTCGTCCTCTATAACTCTGTCCATTCTGAATGTTCCATTCTTAAAGATCTCAGAGCGATTCACATATTCAAGGTACAATTTAAATCTCCAGTTTTCTCCAGTTTTGAAGAGCAGAATATGTGTATCACCTTTCCTCAAAGTTATTTCTTCATTGATACTGTCTGCAGGCAGGTGTAAGGACAAAGATTCTCCCAAAGCCCCATAGCATTGATGAGTTCCATTCTCATAAGAGAGATTACAGGCCGCGGCATTAACTGTGGAGCAATGATTTTATGTCAGTATGTTATGGTATGGGGACAAGCTTAGTGTTAGGACATAGACAAACACACTATTCAGGGTACACTTCCACACTCCATTCACCCAGGGGACAGCAGCAACCTTGTCCAGGTGTTGAGCCTGGTTGATAAGCACATCAGGTGCTGCCAATTAAGGTGATCGTCAGTCAGTGTCCAAGCTTGCAGAGCCGTGAGGCTGCTAGTTTTGTTTAGTGGCCATGAAGCCTTTAGTTTGGTTTTGAGTCTGTAGTTTGGGCATACCTGTTTGTAGTTTCTGTTTTGTATATACATTTTTTCGTCACCATCTGAACAACTAATAATCTGCTTGAACTGGCCGACCAATAGGTGAAGACGGAGCTGGCCCTGAACTCGGTAAATTGATGTCTCCTGGGCAAATATGCATTCAACATGGTCCTTAAACGCTCATTTCTAATGTAAATGCACACATTCATTCAGGTTACAGACCAGTAAACTAGGCCTAAGATTCCTAGATGTTTATTTATTTTAATTTTTTAGGGGTTAGATCAAATGTAATATTGCAGATAGATTGTAGTTTCCATCAATGTAATTGTCTGTATAATTTCCAATATATGTTGTTTTTGAAAAAATATATAAATATATACACTACCGGTCAAAAGTTTTAGAACACCTACTCATTCAAAGGTTTTTCTTAATTTTTTACTATTTTCTACATTGTAGAATAATAGTGAAGACATAAAAACTATGAAATAACATATATGGAATCACGCAGTAACCAAAAAAGTGTTAAACAAATCAAAATCTATTTTAGATTTTAGATTCTTCAAATAGCCACCCTTTGCCTTGATGACAGCTTTGCACACTCTTGGCATTCTCTTAACCAGCTTCACCTGGAATGCTTTTCCAACAGTCTTGAAGGAGTTCCCACATATGATGAGCACTTGTTGGCTGCTTTTCCTTCAGTCTGCGGTCCGACTCATCCCAAACCATCTCAATTGGGTTGAGGTCGGGGGATTGTGGAGACCAGGTCATCTGATGCAGCACTCCATCACTCTCCTTCTTGGTCAAATAGCCCTTACATAGCCTGGAGGAGTGTTGGGTCATTGTCCTGTTGAAAAACATATGATAGTCCCACTAATCCCAAACCAGATTGGATGGCGTATCGCTGCAGAATGCTGTGGTAGCCATGCTGGTTAAGTGTGCCTTGAATTTAAAAAAAATCACAGACAGTGTCACCAGCAAAGCACCCCCACACCATAACACCTCCTCCTCCATGCTTTACGGTGGGAACTACACATACAGAGATCATCCGTTCACCCACACGTGTCTCACAAAGACACAGTGGTTTGAACAAAAAATCTCAAATTTGGACTCCAGACCATAGGACAAATTTCCACCGGGCTAATGTCCATTGCTCGTGTTTCTTGGCCCAAGCAAGTCTCTTCTTGTTATCGGTGTCCTTTAGTAGTGGTTTCTTTGCAGCAATTAGACCATGGCCTGATTCCTACAGTCTCCTCTGAGCAGTTGATGTTGAGATGTGTCTGTTACTTGAACTCTGTGAAGCATTTATTTGGGCTGCAATTTCTGAGGCTGGTAACTGTAATGAACTAATCCTGCTGCAGCGGTAACGCTGGGTCTTCTATTCCTGTGGCGGTCCTCATGAGAGCCAGTTTCATCATAGCGCTTGGTGGTTTTTGCGACTGCAGTTGAAGAAACGTTCAACGTTCTTGTAATTGACTAACCTTCATGTCTTAAAGTAATGATGGACTGTCGTTTCTCTTTGTTTATTTGAGCTGTTCTTGCCATAATATGTCATCAAGGCAAAGGGTGGCTATTTGAAGAATCTCAAATATAAAATATATTTTGATTTGTTTAACACTTTTTTGGTTACTACATGATTCCATATGTGTTATTTCATAGTTTTGATGTCTTCACTATTATTCTACAATGTAGTAATCTGAATAAAGGGAAAAAGGCCATTCTTGAACATGGGGTGAAACATTTGTACTAATCTGCTAGAGAACCAGTTTGGATTTTAGTATAACCTTTGTATGACTGAAGCCTTTAGTGAGAGGTCTAATGCTTTAATATTTAATATTTCTGCCCTCCAAATTCGTATTTATTATATAAAAATAAAAAAAGTTTACTTTTTCATAATATTTTTTTTATTGAATATTAAAACAAACTTGAAGTGAAGCCGCTCAACATCTACATCACATTAGTCATCTAACAGAATCCCTTCCAGAGCGACCCACAGAAGCAACCAGGGCCAACGCCCTGCTCAAGGGCACGTCGACAGATCTCCCACAAGGTCAAACACGGGGACCCGAACCAGCAACCTATCAGCAACCTGCCCAAGCTTCCAACCACCAGGCCACCAGCCCTCCAAGATCCACCCCCCACAGTTCCCCAAGAGCTGCACCTCATTCTTCCATTTTTGGGGTAATGCAGTAATCAATTGGTTGTAATCTTGGATTGAGCAGACCTTCCCATACAATTCTGATAATTCCATGAAAGACATAACTCTACCATTCCAATTTACAATATCATTTAAAAACAAAATAACTATTTTCAAGGGGATGGAATTGAAATTGTAGCCAGCTCTGCAATGCTTGTTTGAAAAAGAGAGATACTTAAAAAAATGTTTCATTTTCAGTTAATCGAAAGTAAAACTTTCGTATAAGTGAAGTTTTTAGAGAGGGGTTTAGTGCTTTTATATTTAATAATCTCAACCCACCCAGTTCATATTCATTATATAGATAGGCACGCTTTATCTTGTCTGGTTTAGCATCCCAGATAAAGCGAAATATTTCTTGCTCATATGATTTGAAAAACAAATCATCAGGAGTAGGCAGCGCCATAAGTAAGTGAGGAAACTGAGATATGACAAAGGAGTTAATCAGGGCAATTTGTCCTTAAATAGACAGGTATTTACCTCTCCATGGTTGCAGGATATTGTCTATTTTTACACGTTTTCTATTGAAATTCATTGTGGAGAGCTCATTTATATATTTTGTGATATGAATACCAAGTATGTCTACTTCACCGTCACCCCATTTAATAGGTAAACTGCAGGGTAATGTAAAAGTTGTATTTTTTAAAGATCCAATACGTAATATTGTACACTTATCATAATTAGGTTTTAGTCCAGAAAAGTTATCTAGATCTTCAATGAGACATTGCAAGGATCTAGCTTGTGGACTTAATATAAAACATGACTCATCGGCATACATGGACACCTTTGTTTTTAAGCCTTGGGATTTCAAATTTACTAATGTTGTTATTTGATCTGATTTTAATAGCTAACATTTCGATGGCCATAATAAATAGATATGCCGATAGAGGACAACCTTGTTTTACTCCTCTTGACAGTTTAATAGTTTCTGAGAAGTAGGCATTATTTACTATTTTAACCTAGGGTTACTATATATAACTTTAACCGATTGTATAAGAGATTCTCCAAAAATATATAAATATATAAATAAATTCCAGTCGTACTTTAACAAAATAATTGAATACTTTCCAAATGCACTGTATATATCGCAGTTCTTGTTTATTTATTTAACTCTTTTTGGCTGATTATTATTATTTTTTAAAACATTTTCTTAACTATAGAAGCTAATAAATGTAAATTGGATTAGCAGAACATGTTCCACTATTAGCATCAATGTTGTTTGTGTCTTATTAAGTCTTGGATAGGCCTTATACTCTGTTCTGTGTAATATCATGTCTCACCTTGTGCTGCTGTTGCTGTCACCACCAGAACTATAGTAATCAGAGGATCCATTTCTCTTCAGCCTGCACAAGACAAGTGACATTTAGCAGAAGTCTCACAGGAGCATTACCATCAAAACTGTGTGAATTTACGTGAACGGATCATAATGTGGTGATACTCTACAAATGAAAGACAGGCTTGTAGACAAGACAACACACTTGTTTGTCAGGGTGACAGAAATACTTTGTCACTTTTGTATGCCGTGCACGCCTGGTGTGAACAGAAAACCAGAAGTATGCTGTGCCTGCTTGCAAACATTATATTTTGTTCCACTTAACATTGTTAGGCATTTACTACCATATTATTTAATGATGATTGTCCACAGGTGAGCTGGATGAATAGAGAAAATTAAATATCTAAAACATAACCCAAGGAACACAATTAAAAAATCCCTAACTTTAACCCTTATGTGGTCCTCTGTAGCTCAGCTGGTAGAGCACGGCGCTTGTAACGTAAAGGTAGTGGGTTCGATCCCCGGGACCACCAATACACAAAAAATGTATGCACGCATGACTGTAAGTCGCTTTGGATAAAAGCGTCTGCTAAATGGCATATTACATTATTACATTAGCTGCAATGGAATAAACATATTCAAAAAAGCATGAACCTATTATTTAATTGGTGATTTTAGCAAATACTTTCTTACATACTTAAAAAAAAAAAATCTGCATTATTGATTAACGGCTTGTAAGTAAGCATTTCACCGTAAGGTCTACACCTGTTGTATTCGGCGCATGTAACAACAGATTTGATTAAATTATTTGATCCATTACAACACTATCAATATCAATGTAGAGATCCTTAATATAGGTCCACATTTTTGTATTTGTTTTTTTTGGTAATATCTAAATTCAATAACTGTTTTTTTTGTTGTAAAGATTGGTTTTATTAGTAATGGTACCTTGGGAAGGTTAATATTCTATGGACCAGTTTCCCGGACAGAGATTAAGCCTAGTCCTCAACTAAAAAACAGTATCAATAAAGAATGTCTATTGAAATCGCTTTTTAGTCCAGGACTGGTGTTTCCGGCAAACCAGCAACGCATTCATATACAATGTGTTCAACCATATAATTACCATTATATTTGCAAATTATGATCAATTGCATGCAATTTATAGTAGCCTGGAGCCTACATTATCATAAATTAATTGTAAAAAGACTGGTCGTTTCCTCAAGTATCAATCAACATATATAACTCTTGCAGTAACCTTAAAACTAATTTAATAAAGAAAAAGCATATAAATAAACTGACCAGATTCACTCACCAAAGTCAAAATGGCAAAAATCTAAAATCCAGATTTCCTGGAGAAAAATGACTAAATTTATTTACTTTAGTGAAGTATTATGCTCTTCACATAGCTTTTATCTCATCTAAGTCCTCTCTTGTGTGAAAAGTTTTTTATCAACAGTTGGTGATGTTTGACATCCGCTCATTCGAGCCAGTGACTACACTATCAACCTGGTCTCAGAGCATTTCATATTACTCTGTACGTATGTCCGAGACACTCATTTAGTATTATATTTTACATTTCATATGGTATGTATTAATTTGTGGATGTTCAGCACCCATTTTATATAATATGTTACGAATTTTCAAAAGTACAATATGTTACGAATTTACAAAGATACAATATGTTACGAATGTGCAAAACGTACAATATGTCACGGATTTGCAAAACGTATTATATGTTACAGATTCTAGCTAGGTGCTAACGTTAGCTAGTCTCGCTAACGTTAGCTAGGCTAGGGGTTAGGGTTAAGGTAAGGGAAGGGTTAGCTAAAAGGGTTAAGGTTAGGGGAAGGTTTAGCTAACACGCTAAGTAGGTGTAAAGTGGTCCTCTGTAGCTCAATTGGTAGAGTATGGTGCTTGTAACGCCAGGGTAGTGGGTTCGATCCCCGGGACCACCTATACGTAAAAATGTATGCACACATGACTGTAAGTCGCTTTGGATAAAAGCGTTTGCTAAATGGCATATTATTATTATTATTAAAGTAGTTAAAGTAGTGAGCAGTTGAAATGCTTCTAAGTAGCAACAATTATAAAGTTTTCTGTGATGAGATTCGAGATCTGTGATGAGATTCGAACTCGCAACCCATCCACCCCGACTAACCACTCTACTTAAATGTTTTGCCTTATGTAACCATCTATTTTATGTAACCATACCAAAAGTTCCTCAGATTTACATACAGATTAATACGAAATGCTCTGAGACCAGGTTGCAACCATTGTCAAATTGTGGCCCCTGTATCTTTTAAGGCATAGGGCAGCTTACAAACCTTTTATGTATAGCTTCCACAGAAGAACACAAAAGTCAGTCTAGACATAAAAGCAGATCTAAAAATGTAAATGTATGTCCATTACTAATAATTAGTAATGTCCTCTTAAGTAAGGTATCTTGAGGACTATTTTGTTTAGACAAACACAAATGAAACAAAACACAAATGAAACTAGTTTAATGCAAATTAACAATACAACTTAATGCAAGCCTATGCCAAGTTCAAAGTTAGGTTTTGTGGTATCCCTGACTTTTGGAGAAGAAGAAGCGGAATACTGTTGATTTACACACTCACTGGACAGTTTATTAGGTACACCATCCCGTTCATGATACTGGATCGCTCCTACAGACAGTGAATCACGTGGCCGTGGCTTGCTATATAAAGCAGGCAGACAGGCATCGAGGCATTCAGTTAATGTTCGATTGAACATTAGAATGGGCAAAATGAGTGACCTAAGCGACTTTGATCTGGTAAGATTGTCGGTGCCAGGCACGCCGGATCCAGTATCTCAGAAAGGGCTGCCCTCCTGGGCTTTTCATGCATGGCAGTGTCTAGGGTTTACAGAGAATGGTGCGACAAACAGAACATATCGAGTCAGTGGCAGTCCTATGGGACAGTCCTGTGGTAGAAAACAGAGCTTGATGAGAGAGGTCAAAGGAGAATGGCAAAAATCGTTTGTGCAAACTAACAGGCGGGCCACAAACAGGCAAATAACAGCGCAGTACAACAGTGGTGTGCAGAACGGCATCTCGGAATGGACAACTCGTCGATCGCAGCTCGTCGATGAGCTATTGCAGCAGACAACCACACCGGGTTCCACTCCTATCAGCTAAAAACAAGACGAACCGTCTCCAGTGGCCACGCAATCAACACTGGATAATTGAGGAGTGAAAAAACATTGCCTGGAACATGACAGCGAGTTCAGTTTACTTGAGTGGTCTGCGCAGTCAGACCTCAACCCAATAGAGCATCTATGAGATGAGATGGAACGGGCTGTTCGCACCATGAAAGTACCATTTAAATTCTCTGGCAACAGCTCTGGTGTTGCCATTCCTGCAGTCAGCATTCCAATTGCACAAGGTGCACCTATGTAATGATCATGCTGTTTAATCAACTTCTTGATATTGTCACGATCGTCTAATGAGGGAGACCAAGGCGCAGCGTTGCGAGTGAACATATTCTATTTATTAAATGCTCACACGAGCAAAACAATAAACAACGAATGCGTGACGTCTATGGTACAACACGAACACACACGAACAAAATCCCACAACCCGAAAGAAAAACAGACAGATTAAATATGGCTCCCAATCAGAGACAACCAGCCGACAGCTGACACTCGTTGCCTCTGATTGGGAGTCACACTGGCAAACATAGAAAATAGACAACCTAGAACACCCACCAGAGAAACAGAAAACATAGAATGAACACACCCTGGCTCAACATAATGAGTCCCCGAGCCAGGGTGTGACAGTACCCCCCCCTAAAGGCGCGGACTGCGACCGCGCCTAAATACGAGCAAAAACAGGGGAGGGCTGGGTGGGCATTCCTCCTCGGCGGCGGCTCCGGCTCCGGGCTTGATCCCCACTTCCTCTCCAACCCCCCAAAGTACCCCTGGTCCTGTCTAGCCCCGCTGGCCGGAGCCGGACTGACGACACGCGCCCCTGGCTTGGTGCGTGGAACATGAACGGACCGGACCGGGCTGACGATACACACCCCTGGCTTGGTGCGTGGAGCAGGAATGGACCGGAATGGGCTGGCGACGCGCACCACAGACTTGGTGCGGAGAGCAGGAACGAGCCGGACAGGGCTGACGAAACGCACCACAGACTTGGTGCGGGGAGCAGGAACAGGCCGGGCTGGCGACGCGCACCACAGGTTTGGTGCGGGGAGCAGGAACAGGCCGGGCCGGGCTGGCGACGCGCACCACAGACTTGGTGCGGAGAGCAGGAACGGACCGGACCGGGCTGGCGACGCGCACCACAGGTTTGGTGCGGGGAGCAGGAACAGGCCGGGCCGGGCTGGCGACGCGCACCACAGACTTGGTGCGGAGAGCAGGAACGGACCGGACCGGGCTGGCGACGCGCACCACAGGTTTGGTGCAGGGAGCAGGAATGGACCGGAATGGGCTGGCGACGCGCACCATAGGCTCGGTGCGGGAAGCAGGAACAGGCCGGGCCGGGCTGACGACACGCACCACAGGCTCGATGCGAGGAACAGGAACAGGCCGGACCGTACTGGAGACACACACCACTGGCCCAACGCAGGGATCAGGAACGGGCCGGACCGGACTGGTAACACACCCCAGTACCTCTCGCCGTGCCTCCACACTTTCCCTCTCCTCTGTGACCAGTGGCCCCCTTAACCTGGCGGCCTCCTCTTCACACCCGCTGGACCGCTCCCTCGCGGCCTCCTGCTGCCCCGTCGTCCACGTCGTGAGCCCCCCCCCTAAACATTTTCTGGGGTTCTCTCCTCCCCGTGGACCAGGCCTCCCTAGCTCTCGCCAGACTCTCACTCTTCTGCTTCCAACTCCCGCTATTCAGCTCCTCAATTGGCTTGACCCAGTCGAAACTCTTGATCCATTGCTCCATAGACCAGCCTCTCTTCTCTTCACTTAGCGGGGCCCAGCCGAAACTCCTACTCCACTGATCCCAGGTCCTTCCTCTCTCCTCCTCACGCTGCTTGGTCTGGTTTAGGTGGGATTTTATGTCACGATCGTCTAATGAGGGAGACCA